GTATAAGCGATAACGCATCGGTGGTCATCAGTGATTCCTTTACAGACAAACAGCAGTCTGTGACTGACAGTTGCACAGGGCCCAAAGGAATTTTCTCCCCCTATATAAGCAGCCGAGACCTGCCAGACCAGATTAATTAACGCCAGCAATAGGGCAATCTGGCCATAAGCTATAATCAATATGTGGTTTGGAGTGAAAATAGATTTTGAAGGAAAATCCTGCACTTTATCTAAATAAACTCCCTGTGCACATGTACAGTGGCCCCTTCAACCCGAGCGCTTATCTTTACATTGCAATCGCCTCTCTTCTCACACTGCTTCTGTCTCTACCTCATCCATCCTTTGCATTCGGCGCTCCTAAAGTAAATCATCTTGCCCTTTTCAGTCTATTTATCTTCCGTTAATCACCTAAAACAAGAATAACGTCCATATCCAGCAAATCCATATCTAACCACCCCCTCCCCGTAACCCTGTGATGAATCGTCGCCCTCACCGGCGGAGGGACCCCATAAACTAATCAGGTGGCCGTCGAGGGAGGATCCCGCCGGATCACAGAGGTTAATAACATTCCACATGATCACCCACAAACCCGAGGATTAGAAGGTTCAGCTGAGCAGGTTCCACATTGCAAATAATAATCTCTGTTTCACAGCAGCGTCCTCCTGGCCACCCCGTTATCTCATCTCCCCCACAGTGAGGCAAGAAAAAAAGACAGGAGCGAACCCCAAAATCTACTGCAAGACCGAGACCCCCATCCTCATCTGAAACCAGACCATTTTTTTTATTGAATGCAACCTTTCTTCCCCCCCTTTCCATGAGCTGTGCTCTCATCATGATGTTGATGGTGTCTGTGGGCGTAGTGCTTCATGCTGAGGAGGGTTATGTCACCTTGTCGTTAGCCAGGGGAGCTGTTGTAGGATTACATATTTATCTCATTCTCGCAAACAGAAGTAGTTACTCAACCCCCCCACCACTTCCTTACATGTACACTTCCTGTCAGTTACAGCGCTCAACAGCTCCCAAAAATCCCATTGTTTCTCGCCTTCTGTTTGAACTCAACTGTGAACTGTTTGTAAAGTTTCTAAACAAAACTGGAACCTGCAAATAAAAAGACGCTACTGGTGCTTTAATAAAATGGTTGGTGGTTTTTAAAACGTATTTAGGCGTAAAAACATGTTCTTTTCTCAACTCAGCTATCAGTGTGACCCCAATATGACACCAATATGAATAAAATTGCTAAATTATCTCATCCAATTGGCAAATCTTTTTACTTTTCTAAAAACTAGGACTTGGTGAGGAACTCCACACCAGATTAGATAAATTGATTTATTTCATTCGACGAGACAAGTCACTATATGCTGAAATTCATCTTAGACCTGCTTTTTGCTTTGGCACAAGAAATACGTATTGGTGATGCAACTTTGAGGAAATCTGAATGCTGTGTTCTGTTACCTTACCATATCTTTACATATTTGTGTATGTGTGTGTGTGTGTGTGTGTGCTTGTGTGCATTCATCTGTTTGATCTTCGGTGTTAAAAACACAAAGAGGCTCGGTACTGTAGCAGCCCACGGGACACAACAGAAATAGATGGCATTCATTTGCTCTGTATTCTACCCTCGCCACCACCAACACCACCCTTCAAACTCCCAGCCCCCCCAATCCCCCTACACACACACACACACACACACACACACTCACTACCACCACCAACGCCGCCACCACTTCCTCACCGACTCACAAACACACACACACGCACTCCCACTCCCCCTTTTCTCTCTCTCTCATTATACCATGTGGGCATGAACCAAAATAAAATGGTGAATAACGGCTGGATTTGAAAAGCTGCAGAAAAGGCAGGCAGATATTCTCTTTCTAGCGTGTTATGAAATGGATGGATATCTGGCCGGTGCAAGATAAAACAAAAACCCAGTGCTGTCATTTGAAACAAAATAGGAACGCGCCTGCGGGGATGTGTGTGTTCTCCCTGTGCTTATACTGTACCTTTGAGGATTTTCTGACTACACACCATCAACCAGATATGAGTGTGGTTGAAAACACTTCTAATCTGGCTGCGATGAACGACAGACACTTACATCACTCCAGATGACTTCATATGGGCCTCTGACACCAACCTGGACACACTGAAGTCGCTTCAAATCAGCAGCTTTTTCTGCTGACACACGCCCCACCCACACCTCCATATGCTGCTCTAAGTTATACACCCAGTTTACAACTAGCCAGCCAATGAGCTGACCCAAAAAACAAAAAACTCCCACAACATAAAGAAGGAAAGGAAAAAACTCACGGAGGTTTGTGGCCCTGGAAGCATAGTGCTGCGAATGCATCCCAAGGGCCTCTTCCCCCCGATACTGCTCACCTGGACACCCGCCCTGCAGCACACTGGCAACGGCCCTGTCAGACAGACAGAGAGAGAGAGAGAGAGAGGGGAAGAGAGGAGTGAGACAGAGAGGCAGTGAAGGATGATGGGTGCAGACAGAGGAATTGTGCACAACATGGTTAATTTAATCATTAAGTTGGGCTGCATTGCTGTGCAGCATCTTTCCATGCAACTGAGGTGCAGCTAACTGGAAGAAAATGGGGTTCCCTAATGAATGGAATATAATTGGTTTGTCCTGTTTTTGCTGCACACTCTTGGCTATTAGATGACACTATGAAGGTGTATAAAAGCATTTTCACTGATCTCCACTCACAGACAGATACACAATGGAGCACAATGAAGCGCAATGCCGCTTTACTCCAGTGAAAGAAACCGCCCCCGCCTGGCGAGAGAAGAGTGGCTCACGTAATGTTATGCTATACAACAATGGATAGGTGGACCGGAGTGGAGAGAGCGTGCAGCATCATGAAGAGTCTCAATAGAGAAGATGACACAAGTTGCTCTTGTTGCCCAGAAACCACAACCTGCGCGTGAAATATAATAATCTATTTTGAGAAAGTTGTAGTGTTAATGGTGTTGCGCTGCTGTGTTTCATTTTATTCCCATTGTGTACTTCAGATATGCACAGAGGAAGATGAGAAAAGGAACGACACGTTGCGCGCTCCAGATCACTGCGTGCGTAGGCTACTACTGCAAGTCTCTTTGCTCTTTGTAAACAAGCGCACCGAGAGAAGCAGGCAGTCAGAGAGGGAGAAGGAGAGAGAGGGTGATATAAAGAGAGAGGGAGGAAGACACACACACACACAC